CTGTCTTTTGCAATTTACACAGAGACAATGTTTTTGAAATGAATTAAATAATTCAACTTAGTAATGATAATGATGTCATAATTGAAAGTAAAAAGTTATTCCGTAATTTTTATTAAGCGTGGCTTAATACAATGACATGATAACAAACCGGGTATACATTGGGTGTTACACACCGACACTGACACGGGACACGAGATACGACACGACACTACTCCGACACGTTAATTCTAAAAAATGTTAAATTTCGACACGTTAGGACACGTTTTGATATTATATAATATTTTTAATTTATGTAATGTATATTATATTTAGTATTCAATAATTTAACAAAAAAATAAAGCTAAACTTAGAATTCCGATCAATTTTGCAAAGAAACATAATATATCCCAAATGTTTATATTAAACTCAATAAAATCGTGATCATAATCTAATGAATATAATAGTTGAGACTGAAAATGCAACGCAACGTAACCTTTGAACCTTTTTTGAGTCTTTGCAATGAGTATTGGAGTGTCGAAAAGTGTTAGAGTGTCGGCGAGTGTCGGGAAGTGTCAGACACGACACATTAGAATTTTTGAAGTGTCGGTACTTGATAGGGTCTAACTCATCGAGTCGGCCCATTTAACCTGCCTATTCTGACAATTTGAGCTGAACACTTTAATACGCCAACTCACAAAACCCATCTCATATTAAGACGAGTTAAAGTGGATCAACCAGCGGGTTAGGCTGGTCAACCTGCAGGTTAGTTTTCCTTTCTTTGTTGTTTTGTGTTAGCAAGTATAATGTTTCATTTATATTGCCAAGGTTTTGTGATAGCCAAGATTTTCATCTCAATCTTCCTCTAAAAAAGATGAAAAAAATACTTCATTTATGAAGGAGTTTATCCATGTATAGAGAAAAAGAGTTCTTAGAGTATCATATATTTAGGTTGGAATTGGAAAAAATAAACGAAAGTGTGAGATGAAATTAAATAACACCATAAAGCTCATAAAATAATATTTATTATTAAGGTTTTAATTTTTTATTTAAACATATTGATACACCAATTGTCATAAAACGAAATGCGTTGATGTTTTTAACTCATTCTAAAGGGTGGCCAACCTCTCACACCTCATTTTTGGTGGGTTGACGAGTCAGTATGGGTCAACTCATTTTGCCTACGGATGAATGCCAAAAATGTTCTCATTATATAACGTCAAAAATAATCTAAATAAATATACTCTATTATAAATAAAATATAAAAAATAACCTAATTAAAAATAAAATCATCAAATAACACAGAAATTTATATTTTATAATTCTAATGTATTGAATCCTAAGAAATTACTGAGTTGTAAAACAAAATTAAACAATTTAAAAAATTCCAAACTTTATAAGAAGGCCAGCAAAAGCAAAATACGATATCTTTTTCTGGACAAAGTAACATAATTAGATCTAATAAAAATAAATTGATTTGAAAAGAATTAAATTAAAATAACAAACAAATTAAGCTACATACATTATTTAATTATTACTTTGGAAGCTGTTGAAAAAGAGATAGGATCAAGTGTGCCTATGAAGAAATTAATGCAGCTAATACGAACTAAAGAAAAATATATCGTGACGGATCAACTCACCAAAATAAATAGTTACTAGATGAATATTTATAAATAGTTTTTATATCTAAACTTCATATTAGATTGCAAATAATTTTTGCTAGTCTTTTAGCACTAAAAAATAAATAAAAGCTACATACCCATAAATGTTTTCGTTAGTATCATGGCAAGTAATCGTATATTCAATAACTTCTGGCAAGTAATAACTTCAGACACAGTGAACTTCTATCCTTAATACGTTTCATGCCCAATATAATTTCATTTGGAGAATTATGAGAAATTACATTCTGGTCGTATTTAAAGTCATTAATTTACTTGTACCCACATAATAGCTAATTATGTCATGACTTTTAAGTAATTAATCAATCAAATTTATATTTGGCAAATTTTTTTTAACAAAATTTAACAAGTCAAAATCCTTCAGTTATACCAATCAAACGAATGCAATTGTTGCACCATAATATTTTCTATTCTTACACACACATGTATACATCACAAAGCCTAGCTATATATATATATATATGATCATAACCACACAAACATATATAAAAACTTTCTAATGTAATCTTATACTAGAATTGAGAAGCAAGCAAAGACTCCATCACTTTGTTTACATGATTTGCCACAGTAAACCCACTACAAAGAAAACTAATATAAAGACATTATTGCTTTAATAAATTTCTTGCACCTTTATCTTTTTTTAATCAACATGGAAACATCTCGACAAAAACATAGGGAATCTGTACGGATGACCAGCATTTAGTGCAAGTTGCGAACCGCTATTGAATAGTTCTGCCAAATTATGGAGCAGATCCTAGCTACTATTACAGAGGCAACTCTTTTCATCTTTTTTAACTTCCATTTTTTGTCTATACACTTTCAAAATATCATTATTCACTGAAATTTAATAAAAATACTAATAGACAAGGGAAATATATATATATATATAGATGAAAAAACTAACAATTTTATTTTTTGTCACCAACACATGAATGACATTTTAAAAACTGAATTTCTTGCTTTCTCTTTCATTTTCCTTCTTTTCTTTTACCATCTTTTTATTTTAAGTTTTAACCATTCTTCACCTCGTTCGGGTTTTATCATCTTGCATGCATACAAGTCTATATAAAAGTTTAAATTAGGGGAGGTACGGCGCCATATAAGGTCGTGGAAGACCATCAATCTCATTAAGAATTTAAGGTGGGATTATAAGCTCAAAATCGAATTTAAGCCATGAGTAATATGGACAGAAAATTCAACCAAATGTGACAATCCTCATTAGCATATATATCAAATTTCTAATGCTAACAAATTGTAATCTCTATATAACTTGATATAGCATACTTGGGTTCAATTAATAATGCATGTATGCCTCTAATCAGCATATGAATTAAAAAAAGAACATGTCACTGTCTTTCAACATATAATAAACTAATTAAACAAAGTAACTAAGCAAAAACAGAAGATTGTGTGTCACAAAATACAGTATCTTTTGTATTAACTAAAATGGTTTATAGAAGTCTTAAATTATCTGTACAAAGCACCGATATCTGGGCCAGACTCATTTGTTAGTGTTCACTGACTGTAGTCACCTATAAAATTTTTTATACCAATCCAGAGATAATACTCACTTAATTGGATGTGTATTTTGAACTACATTGATATATATACAAGATTAGTATACCAATCTCATCTCTGGATTCTCTTTATTGTTGATCATATATATAAATAGGATGTCAAACTTGAATCATCACAAAAAAATATATATGACTGTTAATATGAATATCATGAATAGAATATCACAAAGTCATTAATCACTGATTACCTACAAAGCTATTGAGAATATTTAATTTTTAAAAAATCACATAATTAAGTCTTTTTAATCTTAATATTCACATAAGATTTAGAATTAGCGTTCTAGACCTAGACAATGATCCCAAAATCTGTAGGAGAAATTGTCCTTATACATTGTCAATAAATTAAACTCTTTTATAAATAAAGGATTACGCCTCACCGGTAACTATTTCGAAACCCTAATTCTTGTTTATTAATGTGCATAGTAATCTGCTATTATCTGCAGTTGTCTCTTCCATAAACACTGCTGGTTCTATATGTAATATTAATCACAATCTACTTGGATCATAAAATTATTCACTTTTCCTATGTTAATTAATCAATCAAATTCCAAGTTTGTTATAAGAAAATGAACCAATAGCATCACTATATATATTAGGGGGTTTTGATAAATTGCCTACCGAGTGCAGTCTCTTCAGTTATTTATACTCCCGCTAAAACAGGAGAAGTTATCAGAAATTCAAGAGAGAAAGAGAGAGAAAGACTAGTTTGAGGTGCACAAACTCCAAAGAAATACTTATAGCTTATGATGCTACCAATGGCATGACAGTTTGAAACACTGTCCAGTCTCACTATCTACAGTTTATATATTTATGAATGAAAACAACATGAAAACTCTGAACTCAACGCTCGACACAGCAAATAAAGCTACCAGAATGGCCCCCTTCCTATCTGCAAAAGCCCAAACACAAAAACAAATGAAAAAATAAAATAAAATGTATAATATATGCTATAAACCAATGGATTATTAAATGATGTTTGAAAAACGTTATAAATAATTAAGGTAAGGAAAAACAAAAAACAAAAAACAAAATAAAAAAACACAAAGTGATCGCATTTTACCGCATCCAAAGAAGACATGGAACATGATCTGCAAATCCATTACTCATCATAAATGATCCACCTTCAAGTACATACATATTTATTACAACTTGGACGGTGTATAGGTCACACAACACAAAACCCTCTTCTTCACATACATTTTACTGCCACTACTGTTACTTAAAATTACTCTATCACTGCTACTTCTACCAGTAATACTGCAGTTTGTTTCCATTGCACATTTTTTTGAATCAGGTTCCACACACAGGGCAAATCTTATATTGCAGTAACCCCATGTCAATTCACAAATTCTGCATAACAACAAAATATATAGAATTAAAAAAGAATACACGTATATATGTTATTTAGGTTATGCTAATGCAATGCTATGCATAACAAGGCAATTAAACTGCTAGCATAGCCAAATCGAGAGAGAGTCTTTAAAACTCTACTAAGGGCAAAAGGGGAACCCCAGATTGCTAAGACTTCTCTACATTCGAGGATAAAAATAATGGTCAATTATATATAATCTTACCTTTCCTTATATTTTTGTAATGAAATTATTTTTCAGATTCGAACTTATAACCTTCAAGTCAAGTCAGGGGTGAAGGCTTATCCTCTCAAGTCTTTAAGACTATATTATATATACACACAAATAATATATAGTATATAAGTAGATAGAATTTTGGCTAATGTATAGAGCAGGTAGTTGTGGTTGTCACCTTACTACTAACTTGTTGCATTTGATGGTGGCAATGCAGGTGGTGGTGGTTGAGGTTGAGGAGGACGCTTGCGCTTCTTTTTCTCATAACTAATTCCTCTTGCTTTGGCTTGTGAATCACGAACTTCACGAAGGTAAAGCCTCACAGCCCGAGCACCAAAAGGGTTAGCCTCTGGTTTCCCTCCATTTTCTTCAAAAGCAGCTCTGAGGCGACCAATGAGTGCATCAAGGCTACCCCATGCTTGGCGTAAAGGACAAGGACATGGTGCAGGTGGGTTTGGGTGTCCAAAGAAGGGACAAAGTTGTGTGTGAACCTTGGTTTTCCCAAACTGGTCAAGGTACCTTAGGAACTCAAGAACATGAGCACCACTACAACGAGAGAGGGAAAGTGGGGGTCTATGGTTGCGAAGGTACTGGCCAAAAGTGTTCCAATCTCTGCGCTTTTGGTTCTCATAGCGGCTTGGAGTTGATGGTGGTGATGTTGATGTTGTTGTTGTTGATGATGATGATGAAGCTGAAGCTATGGTCATGGATGTTGTCAAATTGGAGCTGTTCCCTCCTATGTTTGTGATGGGGTTGATGCTTGTGTTGTCTTTGTTTGATGAGGATTCAAATTCTTGAAAAGAATTCATGATTACCACTGTTTCTGATCTACCTAGATTGGATCTTCTAAGGGTTTTTTTTTTTTTTTTTTTTTTCAAATTTTCTAACTTGAGGGTCTTAAAGAAAGTCCAGTTACTGGGATTGAGAAGGTGAAAGAGAAGGGAAATCAGAAAAGAAAGAGTTAACAAAAATAAAAAAAACCTTGATCTGATTTCAAGAGAGAGAGAGAGATGGGGTTTGAAGTTTGAAGGAAGATGGTAGAGTTGGAATAATGTTATAAGAGAGAGAGAGTGTGAGTGTGTGTGAAAGGGTAGGGTAAAAGAACAGTGGAGACTATATGCTGTTTTTCCTATGAGTGTTACTTCAATTCCTTTGGTTTTTGTTAACTCCTAGAATACTTTGAAAGTGTTTGTAACGTTAGGTGCTTTTTGTTAACCCTGTTTTTCTGAAAACATTTTTAGGAATTGGCAGATTTTATTTCCGGAAAAAGGGAAGCAACTGAGTTCCTATGACCCTATCACAATGCCAAAGCAAATGGAGAAAAGAGAGAAGGGTGTTATTGAGAAAGAAAGAAACTGTGTTTTGGCCTTTAGGGCTTTTGTGGAAATGAAAATAGGTTGATAGTGACAGTGAAAGATGACTGATGCAGACAACATAAAGCTTATGGGTAAAAAAAAAAAAAAAGGGAATAACATGATTTTGTTGCTTCTCTCTTTTCTGTTGATTGACAACACCTTTTTTGAAATGACCCCTTTGCCCTTTCCTGTCTGATATGACCAACTTTACTTCATTATCAACCAGAGTTGAAGCACACATGCACAGTAGGGTTTTGCAAACTAAACATCATGCTGTGGTTACTTTTTGAGAAGTGCTAATCCCCAGAGATCTATGTTGCAGATTATAATGATTTCAATACAATCATGAAATCATTGACTGCAAAGGCTTCAATTAAATTAACTACCTAATTGTAAAAGAAATCATTTTATGGGCAACTCTCAAAAATGTTAAAAAACAAAAATTACAGGTGATTCAAGAGAAGAGTTTTGGAGCAGGGAAGATCAAATTTTAAGTGATCCAACTCAATAAAAATGTGATAATTAATCAAGAGGAGAGAAAAGAGAGTAAATTTTTTTTTTTTTTATACAACTGTCAATCTCTCAATGAAAGGAGCACATGAGGACATGATCACTAAAATTTTTTCAGTGATTCAAGGCCTATTGTAACACCCCGTGTATACCCGGAATATTTACATTACATCGTATTAAGCGGTGCTTAATTAAAAATGCGGAATATTCTTTTTCTTTTCAATTATGACGTCATTATCAATTACCAACTTGATTACTTAATCAATTTCATAAAATATCGCCTGTATGTAAATTGCAATAAGACATCTACTGAAATACCTCAATATATAGATAAAGTGTGTATCTAAATCACGGCATTATATCAAGTAATTCGGACAATATCCTGATACATTATTACAACTCCAAAAGACTCAAGACATAATCAAGACATAATAGTACTATGTGTCATGGACAATCCCCATGCTCACCAAATGGACATAGTAAACAACAATCTCAACATAAAACTCCAAAATCATACTGAAGCTATAAGCATATAAACAACATGCAAATCCAGCATCCAATCATGGCAGCATAATATAACAGCAATCTAACTCAGCTCCAGCCTCCTGCCGCCTGAGGTCTCAACATTACTTGACCCTGAAATAAGCATTCCCCAAACGTGGGGTGAGATCTCTAAACTAGAAATCTCAGTAAGACAAGGGGTCCTCAAGGATCTTCCACTCCAAGCTCACTTACATGTGCAATATAAGTTCAAAAAGCATTTATATCATTGTCAGTTCCAAAACTATGTAGTGCAACAGATATCTATGGCATGTGTGTCTATCACTATCTACTGGCAAGAGAAATGTAGGAATACGTCTATTCCCTACATGTAGTACAAGGAACACCGCTTGCACCTCACCCACAGCCTCACCCTCTTGTATGTTCTACATACTCAGGCTTACCGTATAGGTGGAACACCTCCATGCATATCAACAAGGCACTAACATACAATAGCTCAACAACATTTCCAAAACATCAAAAGCATGTAACACAGCATGCATATAACCATACCCCCATGGGACATGGTGGAACCACAACATGGCTAAACCGAGGACACGAAAGCTTACCTCTAAGCTAGCTATCCAATGCCACAAGCTCAAAGTCCAATCACAGCAGATCACAATCTGATATGGACCAAATATAAATCAATAACATGTACCACATGCATACAAATTAAAGACAACGCCTTTTCGTTACGCTTTATGTCTTAAGGCTTCTCACCAAGCCATAAGCCCTTAATCACTTGATTCTGACTTGGTTTAATTAAAACAGAAGTTCAACCTCATCAATCTAGGGTCCACAAACCCCCAATAGCCTACTGTCCTCACAGCACAGCTACTGTTCTTCGAAATCCCAGAATATCCGGATATATGTCGGGGGCATATCCGGATATCTCCAAACCCATATCCGGATATCATATCCGGATATTTCGCGACAGAATGTAGTTTCTGCATTTCGCGAGATATCGCTCCCAAGGTTCCATTTTATTAAAACTGAAGTTGTAATTCTTTCCCAAAAATTCTGAGATTTTAATATGTTAAACTAGACATCACAAGCTTTCCAACGACATATCTTATGTCTCAATCGAAGTTGTATAGCTTTGGTTATGATTTTCGCAAAGTGACTGCTGCCAACTGAAATTCCAGCAACCAAGACGCGACTTTAAACTAACACTGAGTTCAAACCGCTTATCCAATGGCTACGAAATTTTACAGGGTTGTATCCCTATGTGTTAGCTTTGCATAGGTCCAAACGACACTTGATTTGGAGCTCTGTAGCTCAGGATATTGAATTTTTACCAAGACAGGTTCGTTGCTGTCCCGAAATCCGGATATGCATATCCGGATATGCATATCTGGATATGCATATCCGGATATTTCGCGACAGAATGCAGTTTTTTTGCATTTCGCGAAGATATCCAACGAAGGTGGTTCATTTCAAGCATACAGAAGCTTAAACATGCGATTTAAGGTGTGTTCAACATTACCCAACAGCAAGTTATCATCTTTAAGCCATAACATGCATCAAGCTTTCATTTTTAAGCATAAAAACTCAAGATCAAGGTTGGTACAACATACCCAAGCTTCAAACTCAGAACAAAGAGGCTCTTGGAGCTCACTTGACACTCCCAAGGTTCTGACTTTACCCAAGAACGAAAATGGCAACATAAGCTATGTCCTTTCTTCACAAAGAAGGCTTCTTGAAGCTTCACAAGCCAAGGACAAGTGCTCTCACCCAAAGGGACACCAACTGAGCCCCTCAACACCTCACCAACAACCTCTCCAACTCAGAAAGGAACACACACTTCCTTCACAAGGCTCACACACCCTCAACCAAGTGTTTAGATGGTGAAACAAAGAAGAAAAAGTGAAGACTTGGAGGTTTCTCATGCAAAGGTGACCAAGGAGAAGGGTGGCAGCAGCCAAGCTCTCAAAATGTCACGTAGGAGGCACCATTTCTGACCTAGAAATGTGTGTCATGGCCTTATATAGGCCCACTTAAGAATGAACGCGCAGTATTAACTTCAATTGCTAAGCTTAGCATTTTAATCCCAAACTTTGGATTCTTAACCTACTCAATTTTACAAGAATTATTATATTTTTCTTATAATTTTCTGAGCACCTTTTCGGTACGCGCTTTTCAAAGCCAGTACCGGTTTCTAGCACCAGTTCTCATTATTTGGACTTGAAACTCGTTTTACAAGTCCTACATATCATTCTAGTAATTATCATATACTTATTATAATTTTCCGGGATACTTTTTCGGTACGCATTCATACCGACTAGCAGAACCGGTATCTGCACTTTTCTTCCGAAAAGCGACTTTCAGCATTATTACTCACTTACTATAATTATTAAAGCCTCAAAATAATTATTAGGGTCAATTATGGAATCATTTCCTATTTTCACATAATTAATTAATTAAATCCCTTAATTAACGGTGCATGTTCTTACACCTATCATTTATCAACCTCGGTTAATGGGTGAGATGATTATTTATTATAATATCAAAGTCAAGTGACTATAGATTTATGAGTTCGATCATCATCATTTTTTACTTTTTAGTAAAATTAAGTCAGCACAAAATTCAAAAAAATTAGTATGTGCAATATTTACGCTTTAAACTTAAAGGACTCCAGCGTAAATGTACATATATATTAGAAAGATATTGTATAAAATCATTAAAAGCTCGTCACTTTTCAGTTTGAGCTGTTAAGTGAAATGATTGTTTATCATTATTAATAAACTAGTTTTGTATCATATATAAATTGAAATACATTCAAAAAACAAATTCCGTGATACTACAGTTTCATTAAATATAATAAATTTATTAAACAACTAGACACAGTATATAAAATACAAAGACTTATAATAATAAATACAATATTGAGTGCACATACAATTCCAATAAACGAGTTAATATCTCCATGTGATATATACAATATTCTATTCAAATAATATTAACTTAGTCGAATAATTTTCCTCAGAATGAAACTTACTCATTGACCAAGTAACGAATAAAAATAGTGTTGGAAACATGCATGTATGCATGCTCACTTCAATTAAAAAGAGAAAAAAGAAATCCATAATGATCTCCTTAAAATTGGGGGGAAGTAGCTATGACAAAAGATTAAATTATATCAATTTTCTTTGTTGAATTTAGGATATGTTAAATTCGTTACAAATTAATAGTTCTTCCATGCATTATTAAGTCCTCGCTTTTTGTATTGCACCTGCATGATCCTTAGTTTTGCTCAATCGATTTGAAGGTTTTACTGTTTCATAAGAATAAAGAATGAGATGGAGATGAATCATCTGCATCAAGGGTAAGTTGTCTTAATTTTGTTACAATGTGGGTCGTATGCCATGACTAAGAACCCTAATCTCTTGATTTTCAAGTTA